CATAGATGCAGGCGAAACGACAGGAGAGAATGCCTCTAGACCATGGCCATATAGCCCGAAAAAACCTACAACTCAACAATTCAAAGTGCTGGTTTTAACCTTTAAAGCTCTAAACGGTCCTGGCCCAGACTGCATGTCCGAATGTATCTCCTACTACAAATCATCACAAAGTTTAAGATCATCTGGGGAGGCCCTGCTCTTGATCCCATCACCGTCGCAAACTCAATTGGTGGAGATGAGAGACAGGGCCTTCTCAACAGTGGCTCCCCGTCTGTAGAATTCCCTCCCCAAAGACATCAGACTGGCCACCTTCCTCCTYTCCTTTAGAAGGAAACTCAAGACTTGGCTGTGGGGCCTTSCATTTGACCATTGAACAGCGGCTTGTATGAAGAAGACATACGCAATTTCGAAGTGGCAATGAATTGAACCYGACCCGGATTTTAATTGGCGTGTTTTAACAACTGTTTATTTAATGTTTTGTTTTAATGAATTTGTTGATTGTTCTTATCATTATGATGGTACCAAATGGTGTTTGCTGTGAGGCCGCCCTGAGTGTCCCCCCCCCCCCGGGGGTGAGAAGGGTGGGGTACAAGTATCTATATAAATAAAAATGTAATGTTCGTTTGTGGGAATAACAGAACTCAAAAGCCACTGGGCGGATTGACACCAAATTTGGACACAAGACACTTAACAACCCAATGTAGTCCTTCACTCAAAAACATTGATTTTGTCATTTGGGAGTTGTAGTTGCTGGGATTTATAGTTCACCTACAATCAAAGGGCATTCTGAACCCCACCAACGATGGAATTGAACCAAACTTGGCACACAAAACTCCTATGACCAACAGAAAATACTGGAAGGATTTGGTGGGCACTGACCTTGAGTTTTGGGAGTTTTAGTTCACCTACATCCAGAGAGCACTGTGGACTCAAACAATGATGGATCTGGACCAAACTCTACACGAATACTCAATATGCCCAAATGTGAACACTGGTGGAGTTTGGGGAAAGTAGAATCTTGACATTTGGGTATTGTAGTTGCTGGGATTTATAGTTCACCTACAATCAAAGAACATTCTGAACCCCACCAACGATAGAATTGGGCCAAACCTCCCACACAGAACCCCCATGTGGGCCAGAGCAATGCGTGGCAGGGGACGGCTAGTATGAAATAAATAAGCTCTAGGATTCCAGGACTCTATGTGTCTATATTCGTGACTGCATCTCCCCCTAT